ATCCACTTTCAACTTTCCTTTCTTCTCCTATTCTTCATCCCAATGGGCAGCCAAAAGACAGTAACCAAAACCGGCGCACGAAAAAGCATGGTTAATGGTTGTTCAAGTGAAACTGAAGCAATTGTCGCCCATTAGTTTTGTGGTCTTTCTTGAGGCACGTGAGCCGACGACATCAAACCTTGTTTTGACTGTGGTCGTTTGGGATTTGTCAACTTTTCTTCATCAAAGCTATTGGCCCATCAAATAGCCAATGCCTCAGATCTGTCGGTCGCACCTAATTTATACATCTAACTGCAGTGCTGAAAAACGAATGACCCAGTCGTCGAGTAAACTCGAAATTGAAACCCAATAGAAAAACAGGTTTTATTGAAAAATAAGCATTGATCAATCTTGGAAACGAGAGGAATTTTCCTGGGAACGGTCCAGAAAAAATGCGATAGATCCATACAAGCGAGAAGAAAGAACGGAGGTGTATCGCGAAAACAAACACCGAATTGTACAAGGATGAATGAAGGGATCATAAGACAACAGGTCTGTCTATACAAAAAAGAGTGATGCAATGAGAACACGGCCCGTGCGACTAGCTACGTTCTTCCTCCACGGGGTGATTAAGAGCCATCAATTTACGGTCCAACAACGCAGAGACCGCCAAGGCGCTATCGTGAATTCGACTTCCCGGACGATTGGTCAGCAACCAGTGCTGAATCAAAAGCCTAAAGTGAGATAATATTGCGGGGGGGAGCATAAAACGGCAGCATGATATGAAAAGGTTGACAAAGTCCAAAATGTTATTGTTCAGAGTAAAAATGGTCACAAGGCTACAGAAACCCATACACGATGGCTTATACCACTAATCCGACCCGCCACTTCAAGAAATTTAGACATAAGGTTTGCTGATCGGATAATATTGTTCAATGAACAAGTTAGTTACAAGCACGACTGAACGAGTGAACGTTGAAATATCTAAAGTACAGGTGAAAAAAAAACAGAAAACTTGGTAGACAGCATGTAAACAAAAGTGAAAACAAACCTCAAATGCGAGACGGCCGTCTGCGGTCCTCCGGGTAGTTGACCCCGTGATACCAAATCCTGTAGACTATTCAAATCCCACGCACGAAGCTTCTCACGAATAGGCTCTGCCCCCAGACGAGCCGGACGGCGACGATTGCGCGGAGGTAATGATTTTCGTGGTGGAATTCGGTGGGCCGTGTGTTGCTGAGATTCGTCAGATGAGTCCGACACGTTCGGTTCGGTCAGTATCCCGTGATGCGGTCTACCAGCACCACATCGGAGCAGTGGTCGAGCACAGCTGGACTTACACAAATCAGTGAGCAGTTGTTGGACTGCTGACTGATCCAGATTCGTTTCGCTGGGTTTCGGAGACTGGGTCTCACAATCAGATTCGGGACTGCTGTGGCGAGTGAATGACGGAGTTGAATAGCGACGCGCCGGGCGACAACGACGAGTCACAGCTCCACCAACGGGGGGATCGCAGTGAGTTACAATGGTTGACAAGTCACAGGGATCCAACACAACTGAAACACGCTTGACTGGAAAAACGCCAATGAATTGGAGCTCATTAGACATTAGGGATATAGAATCATTAAGTTTAGTATTATTATTATTATTATTATTATTATTATCCGAATATGCCATCATTAAACATTGTAAGAAAACACAAAGTAGCGAACAAGTTCGTTTGCGGTGACTCTTCTAAAGGCTAATAAGTCATAATTCATATCAAACTCTTTAGAAGGGGAAGAACCCATAACAATTTGGAGGAGAAAATTAACATTCCAATTCCATGACCGAATGTTGCTCCCAAAGCCATTCCCCACCAAGCCCTAATGACCCGAACCAGTGCGCATATGTAAGGATCAACGTGTGAGCAAAATCCGGTCACGGAACTGGAATACTGATTTTTATCTTATCAACTTGTCATTTCTTCGACCCAAAAAAATGCAACTTTATAGAAAGCAGCAATTAAAGACCGCCTAGCGTTTGAGACAAAATTCACATTTGCTATTGGACATTCACATTAAAGCTCTATTGAAACAAGTTTTTCTCCAGAAAATTTTGATATCAACCGACGGGATTAAATTCATGATATACCACAAGGAATAAAGACAGAAATGCCTGACAACGTTAACACTGAACGTCCGATAAAAATTTGGTGAGCCTTTAGAAAACCAACCAGTGAGATCAAATCGAAAATTACTGCCAGCGCCAACAGCTGGACTGGAGCATATCCGTCACACACAAAAATGAATAAACGGTTAGCGGAAAATTAGGTGAACGCATTCAACCAAGATTTTCATGTGTGAAACTTTAAAATTCATTACTTATTAACGTACGGGTTGGAAATTTGATCATGATGTCTTTTAGAGAATCGGAATCCGAACTGGAATCCAAGCGAGAGCGTTTTTTGGCTGAGCTTGTGACCGATTGGTTGGCATTGTCCACAGACATGTCTGGAATGCTTTCTGTGCAGTTCGCTTGTGAAGCACGCCTTCCACATATGCGCGATGCATTGGGCTGCTGGTCATCTCGAAGACTATTCCGAGCTGGACCACGAGGTACCGTTGACTTACGTCTCAGCGACGGCCTGCGTCTCAAACGCTTTGCTCTACGTGTACTTGGGGTGTCGAACGAACAATCGTCTGAAACTCCGCTAGAGTCATCCACTGGTTGTAAAATGCGACTGTGTCCGGCGGATACTTGAATGTCAGGTTCAGGTGAATTATTTCTCTACAAGATGAACGTAAATGTGAGGTCGTACGTGAAAAGGACTAATTGAAAACACAGTAGAAGCAGTGTGTCGTTTTCTTTTAGCGATAGCACAAGGATGACACTTATTACCCTGGTAGG